CATATGCGTGCCAGAACTGACTCCAAATGCCACACTATTAGGGCTCTGGAAAGCAGTCGGTGTAGCAAGTAAACCCATTCTACAGATGTGGTGTCAACACACACAGAGGTTGGAAGACCCGACCTGTCCAAGGACCATAATGACTTTGGTGTCCACGGCAAGTTCCTTGTAAAAGCCTTCAGAGGTAGCTTGGGAGCAGTGCAGAGGAGCAGGCTTGCCTGGGGGGTGGAAGTGGGGGCGGCTGAGGTCAGCTCCTCCTCCTGCCCACCCGGAGAGGGCCACCACTGCTGGCGCACTCCCCGCGAGGCCAGGCCTTGCAAAGGAAGCAGAAATCTGTCGTTAACACTGTGCCAAACCCGAAGTGGCTGCTCCCAAGCTGCAATCCAATAAAAGTGTGACTTGTCTATTTATCATCCGCAGGGCTTTTTATCACAGTGCAGATGGTTGCTACCTTTAGAAGCCTTGGCAGCCCGCTGCCAGCCGCCCGCCACGCACAGCTTCACTCAACAGGATCTGGGCCTGCACCTGCGGTCGTGAGGGACCTGGGGACGGCCACTGGCCATGCTCAAGGTGGCCTTGCTCTTCTTTACCTCCCCACAATGCTCACCAGCTGCCCCTGCCTATGCTGATGGCTGCTGGGGTGGGCTAAACTCCCTGGTTTCGGTTATGGCTGCACCTGGGGCCACCCTTCAGCGGCTCCATATGGTTGCTGCCCTTGAGGGGAGAGCTAGCAAGGACAGCACCCCATGCCAGGTTACTCAGAACAAGGGGCCCTCTTTGGATCACTCCAGAGAGTAAGACGGGAAGATGGAGCTGAGAAGATCAAGGGCTTGAGCAGAGCAAGCATCTGGGTTCCCCCGTCAGGCCCCTGCATGCGTAGGTACAGCAAGGGCGTCTAAGGGATCAAAGGCTTTTCAAGAGTTCCACTGTGGGCATCAGGTTGCACCTGTGCCTGTGAAGAAGTCACCAGCAGGGAGGTGGCAAGCAGGCAGGAGGACTGCTCACGGGGCCTGAGGGAAAGTGGACCCCTGGGAAGAGCAGAACCCTAGCCTCCGTTCCTACACCTGAAACATCTGCTTGTAAAGAGGGCTCCCACGTGGCTCTCTAGATGGTTCTAGTCCCTAGAAGTCAGTCACAGGACACAGGGTCTCCACCCATCCAAATCCTAGCCGCAGCTGTCCACATCTCTGTGCGCGTGTGCATAGCACGTGCATCAGTGTGCACTTGTGTGCAGGGGGATAAAGGAACTGGCACCCCACCCCTTTACAGAAGTCAGGTGGTAGGGACACAATGCCTGGACACTGTCAAATTAGAAGAGTGACCTTTGCCCTTTACTGAATCCCAGAAGCCCCAGCTCCTACCTCTTCCTGCTTCTGGGCCATCTCCTGAATCTCTTCATCTTTCCACCAGACAAGACGCCTGGCTGTCTAGACCAGTTGTGGGATCCAACACCTCTGCTTCATGCCCAAGCCCTCCACAGCACACCACTCTGTAGTGAAAGTCAAGGAGGGCTCTGGCCACCACAGTTCCTGTGGCTGCCAGTGGCTCCTCTGGGCTCCATCTCTGCCTCAGGGATGAAACCAGAGCTTTAGGTGGGGGACCCCAAAGGTACACAAAGACTCCTCACCACAGGGAGGGTGGGTGACAGACAGTGAGACTAAAGGGCAGTGGTTGGCCTCGACTTCCAGTGATGTGTCAGCAAGTGCCAGCCTGCCTCATCTGCCAAATGCAGTGAGCATCTGCTACCCACCTTTCCTGGCAGGCTTCCCTTTCTGTGATAATAAAGTTCTGCCCATAATAGCGATGGCGTTTATATAGCTGCCACTGAGGCCAGGCAGGGATCTGAGCACTTAGCTCCTCTTTCCTCCCTCGGCCTTCTAAACACTGCCAGCAGTCAACTGGTGGCACAGCAGTTTTCACAGCTGGGAAAGCAGCCACAGAGAGGTGGAGAAACTTGGCCTGGGGTCATGGAGCTGGAGTCAGAATCCTAAGAAGTTCACCACTCTGCAGGCCTAGCAGGGTTTTATGTACTTCGCGACCAGACGAACCCCGTTCATCCTAAAGGGTGTGAGCAGTATACAGTCAGGATCATCTGGACTCGGCTGTCTCCTTGAGAGGGAGGACACCAGGTCTGGGAGGCAGGTTTTCCATGGTATAGGGGCACATCGCTCCCCAGCCCTACCCCCGTCACCTAGGAGATTGGGCCATGCTCACTGAAGGATGACGCCTGTCTCCAGTCCCCAGAGAGGGAAGGGATGCCTCTGCCCTCCATCAAGAAGCCATCTGGGGGCTGGAGACGCAGTCCAGTTGGTGGAGGACTTGCCTGGCACGCACAAAGCCTTAGCTCCCGTTCCCAGTACCACATAAATGGGTATGGCGGCTCAGGCCTCTACACTCAGCATGTGGATGCAGGAGGGTCGGGCATTCAAGGTTATTCTTCACTACTTAGCCAGTATGAGGCCTGCCTGGGCTACATGAGACCCTATTTAGCACCAACAAAACAAAACAATAGAGCAGAGAAGCCCCCCTGAGGGATGTCAGTTCATCTAGAGCGCCATGAGGCATCCGTGGCAGCCGTGGTTGCCACCTACGGAGCGGCAGTGACCCAGCTACAGTGTGACAGCTGAATGTTCAGACATTGCCAACTGTCCCCTTGAGCAAGCAGGATCATCCCTTCATGGAGAGGATCAAAAGCTCGTCTGAGAAACCGTTGCAGAGACCCAGCTCCAGCTGCACGCAGGCTGCGCTCTGCACCAAGCGCGGTTGACAGAGGCCCGAGGAACTCACTGCCGGCTCCCTAGGAAGACAGGCCTCAGGAGGGCAGAGCATGAGAGAAGGGCAGGGAGGAGGAGGCAGGTCCCAAGGGAGACCAGCGTGCCCCGTGGGGAGGATCACAAGCCACCCAGAGTTGGGCAGCAGCATGGACTGGACGTGGGACTCGAAGAGCCGTGTCCACAGCCAGGCTGAACACTCATGGGTTCTGGGAGGGCGTTATGAACAGCACACAGGGCATGCTAAGGAAAGCTAAGGGCCACATTCCAATACAAGCCCCACTGACTCACTGTACCCCACCGCCCTGTCCCCCTGTCAGGGCCTAGATAGGCCTTATGACCACTTGCTGATTGGCTGTAACATCTCAGGGAGCCTTAGGACCTGATGTGATCTTAAAAGAGAGAGAGAGAGAGAGAGAGAGAGAGAGAGAGAGAGAGAGAGACCTCTGACCCCAGCATCCGAGGAGTTAGCATGGTTAGCATGTTCTTAGCAATATTGACCCAGAGTCCTCCCAGAGTAGACGATGGCCAGGATGGGTCCTGTGGCTGTCATAAAAGGCTTGGGTTCAGATTGCTGGCTCACCTCCAGCCCTGACAGACATGCACACTCAGACAGACCTTCTGGAAGCTAAAGGAGAGCTTCCTCCAGGCAATTGAACGAGCTGGAGAGCATCAGCCAGTGGGTCTGATGATGTGACTTGTGGCCAGCTTGAGCGAGCTGTACCTGCCCGTATCTCCCTCATTCAACAAATAAGGTTCCCAGTCCAGGGACTGGGAGGGGACATGGTGATACCAAGACCCCCCGTCCCGCCCCAGTCTATCAGCGGGAGCCTATGTTGGAAGGAGGAAGACAGACAGCAGGGTGACAACCAACTGGCAGGTCACTCCAGGACAGGTACAGTGTGGGTGGGGAACAGGGGGAGCCACCCTCGGGGGGTGGGGGTGGCAGAGCTCTGAAGGGCAAGAATGGCCTGTGTGTGCATGCCACTGTGCACATGGGTCTGCAGCCAGTTTTATCTTGAGTCTTATACTGTGCATACATCGGTATGAATCTACGTGCATATGTCTACACCCTGCTGCTCATGTGTGTGCGCGCTTCTTGGGAACATGCATCTGCGCATGGGCCTGTGGAGATCCATGCACGTGCACAGGCATCCATGTTAGATGTGTGTTATGTGTGTTAAGGAGAGTCTGGACCAAAGGCTCTTCAGAAGCTCACCCTCCCCAACCGGGCTAGGAATCACATAGGCCTCTGTGTGGAACCTCATGTGTGCTCCCACCCAAGTGTGCACGTGTGTTCTTTGGCCTGTGAGTGTCTCCGAACAAAGTACACCCTCAACCTTGCAAGCCACCGCCATCTGTCTCCCTGCCGCTTGGCCATTTGAGTCGCTGTGGGGGGAGGTGGAGACCTCCCTGCAGAGAGGACCAGATGGTGGAGTGGAGCATTTCCCTGCTGCCCCTCCCTGTGGCCCACCCTGGCCTCTTGGCCACCTGGGACATGGCAGGGCGCCACCCTCAGCTCTGGTGCCTCAAGGCTGCCCTGACCCTTGGCCCCAGCTCCACCACAAGTGGCCTTTCGCCCCAGCCACATTAATCTCTGTCCAGGTCGGCTGGCGGAGGCAGTAGGGCGAGCGGGGCATGTCCCCAGGGCCTACAGACAGAGTGGCTGTCGAGTGACCCCCTCCAACAGCCCAGGAGCCCCAGAGGGCAGAGGGCAGAGGGCAAATTGGTGAGCTCCCATGTGCCCCTGGACCTTGCGGGACCTGGAGGGAAGGTTGCCTTGACCCCAGCAGGTCACTGCTGCAGGTCAGCTGGTTGTCTCTCAAGCCGGTCACACAGTGGCCCTGAGCAGCACAGTCCTCCACTCTTTCGCCAGCCTGCTTTACCCGAGGTTCCCTGGGGACCCTCAAGGCAGCTGTCAGTCACTTGTGTAGTTATTTAACAGATCAGCTGCCGCGGAGGCAACGCGGGACACAGGGCTCCCAGATCCACTGTGTGCCCTTAATTCTGGCCTCTCACTCCCCAGCTGCAGAGCTTTGGCAAGGGGACTCAACAGCACAGGGGACTCAGTTTCCCTGTCACATCCACATTCTAGGCTGCCCCGAGGATTCGATGAGCCTATGTGGACCAGGAGAGCCCTGCAGGCCTCCGGCTCATAGCTATGACAATTGATAAGGACTGTGCCAAGAAGGGAGGGTCCCAGGCATCAGCAGAGGCAAGGGCCCTCCCTCTGTCTTCTGCCAGGACATCCCTTTTCCTTTCTACACCCCTGGAGGATGGGATCCGAAAGCACAAGAACAAAGCTGCAGGACCCTGGGGTTGGCAGAAGAGCCCTGATATCAGGTGTGATCTTTGTTACATCCTCAGGTGTGTGGGTCAGGCTGGGAAGGAGGGGCACAGTGGGGGAGCATAGGGAGTCAAGAGAAAGGCCAGCCCAGAGTGCTAAGCAGATTCTTACGCCTCCCTGACCAGGCTGGAACTATGGTAGCCAAGTCCCGGGGCCCCAGTGGCATCCTTATAATGTGTGCCCCGTGCATTCCACCCAGGGCTCACCGATCCTCACACAGAAGCCCTTCTACCAGGAGCAGGCTTAGAAAGTTCCAGGCACTTGTACAAAGATGTTAACAGCTAAAGGGTCAAAAGGGGAACAGAGTCTGCACACGCGACTAGCTGGTAGCCCTAGGCCTGGCGTTCAGCAGGAAGGAAGGAGCTGAAGAAAGGCATGTATGGCTGCATTCTTTATAGGAGGTACAGGCCCAGGCAGGGCAAGGGACAGGGCCCAAGTAATGACTGACGGGCATCCGGGCATCCGTGGGCTGGTCCTTCCTGGGCTCTGATCCCTCCCAAGGACGGGTGGTGTGGGAGCTGGTTTCCGTTCCCACCCTGTTATCATTTCCCTCCCAGGCATCATGTGGCCTTCTCAGCACAGCAGGGGACCTGGCATTTGGCCTCTTCAGGCTTTCTAGAAATAAGATCAAGGAAGGGAGAGAGCGGAGGCCTAGGGGTCAGCTCTTCTGTTTACACATGAAAGGGCCCCCACTTCCTCCAGGGATGGGGGCTGCTTAGAGGAGGGACACAGGGGCTCCTGTGACCCCAGGAGTCTCCTCAGGGGGCCCTAATGAAGTGGTCAGATGGTACAAAGAGGCCTATGAACAGGCCACTTCCTTGCCCCCCCCCCATGGGGAATTTCATGGGTGTGGCAGCCTGTGAGGCAAGATGTGCCACGCCTACCTCTGCCATCTGTTCAAGGCCAAAAGTCACAGGGTAGGAGTGAAGGGAGAGGGGAGGGACACTCGGTGGCCTGGCCCCCTCCTGTCCTACTCTCTCACACCAGATGTCTCCAGCCCACCCTGCTGCCAGGAGCCCACCGAGGTGGATGGGGCTAGTTCTGGCTGGGCCGGGTCTGTGGCTCCCTCTGCAGTCACTGCACAGCCTAGCAACACGGAGACCCCACTGGAGATGATGGCTAGTACCTCCAGGCAGTTTGCCTGCCTCTAGTGGGGGAATCATTCTGTTTCTCTGCTCTTTGGGGTTTGGGCTGTGTGCATCTGATCAAGCCCCCAGGGGCCTCTCAGAGGGGCACAGCCTACCCCGGAGTTTCATCTCTGTTCCATGGAGCTACCAAATTCTGCTTCATTGTGGCTCTAGGCAAGGAGTTACCCAAGCAATGTGAAGCCTTAGACTGCAGGTTGACAAATTCCTACTAGGGTGTGGATGGGTGAATGATGGGCCGGCACGGTGGAGCCTGAATTTATAGTTAGGATAGGGTTGAGCCAGTGTTTGCTGTGTGACCTGTGGCTGATGTCTTGAGACCTCTGGGCAGTTGTTTGTCAATAGGATTAAGGGTAATGCCTTGGTGGGGAGGGAACAGAAGGTTTGAACAGATGTTTTAACCCCAGGCCTGAAGGAGGCACCAGCCACCCTAATCCCAACTTCTGGAAGGTCTCTGGAGCTGGAGAGGTGCCATGGCATAAGGACATTTTTAGGAGCTGCCCAGCAGAGCCTCTGCCACACAGCTGTGGAGCTGTGACAGGTTCAGAGTCCCAGAGACAGGATGACAGTGGGCAATGCAGGTCATGATCTGTGGATCTGGGCAGGGAAAGCAGGGAAGCTGGTCCAGACCAAGCCATAGCCTGCTGCCCCTCAGCCTGCTGGGACCCTTCCTGACATGTAAGGGACACAAAGAAAATGAGAGGCTCCAAGTCCATTGAAAGCACCAAAATGGCAGCACCAGTCTTTGATCGTGAGCCCCTGAGGGACTCGTGACCACGAGAGCTCTTTCTGGGAGCTCAGAAAGGGGAACAGAGAGCAACTGAGACAGCAGTGGCACCCCTCGAAAGGACAGGGCAGCAGAGCAAGATAGATACGTGGCCTTGGCCAAACTTTCCTTTCTGGCTCAGACACTTCCTGACTGGAGCTGTGGGGCTGAGATGCTCCAATCCCTGGGCCTTGGTTTCCTTGTCTATAAATACAGGTAAGAGTTCCTTCCCATGGGGCTGGGGAGAGGCTGGATCAGTGAAGGGCTTGTCACAGAAGCATGACAACCTGAGTTGAATCCCCAGAGCCATGTGTGTAGTGTGTATTTGTAATCCCACGCTGGGAAGATGGAGACAGGAGGATCTCTGTGGCTTGCTGGCTCACAATCAAGGTACCTACCTACCTATGAGCTATATAGGTATCTGTCCTTGCCCATCCAGGCCCCCCAGAACCACCTGGACCATGTGCAGGGATGAGGGCACCCAGGCATTCTCCAGAAGCCACACAGGTGCAGGAATGAGACACCGTCCCCAATTCTACCACAGTAAGTCTTGTGACTGTCTAAGTATTTCCCGTTGCTGGGCCTCTGTTTCCCCTGGTCAGGGGTTGGGCCGGGTCCTATGGTTTCTTCCTAGGTCCATTCCTTTGGCACCAGGTATATAAGAATGGTGGCATGTCCTTTTGCAGGACTAGAGAGCTCCTTTCTTCCACTACTGAGTTTTACTGAGTGTCCAAACAACCACTTCTACTTGTCTGTTCACCTAACGTCTCCATCCATGTAAAGTCCACAATTGTCTGTTAGTCAACATAACTCTAGCAACTCCACCCACTGATATCATCTAACCCTTTTCTCTCTCCTATCCCTTCATCTAACCAAAGTCCACCTAGAATCCATCATCCAACTCACTCACTCCACCTACCCACCCACCCACCCATCCATCCACCCACCCATCCATCCATCCATCCATCCACCCATCCACTCACCATCCACCCACCCATCCATCCACTCACCCATCCATCCACCCACCCACCCATCCACTCACCCATCCATCCACCCACCCACCCACCATCACCATCAAACCCACTTCTGTCCACCCACCCTTCCAGACATGTGATCCTGGGCACCTGGGAAACTGCAGGAGAAGCAAGGTGGAGGCCAGACCTTGGTCACAGGCAGCTTCTCTCAGCTGTCTGCAAAAGCTGCCGAGAATCCCACCTCTGTCCGTATTTGGCTTTCATTTATATTTATTTATTTATTTACTATTTTTTTGAAGCAGGGTCTCACTCTTTGTGGCCCTGACTGGCTTGGAACTCACAACCGAGAGAGCAGCCTAGGTGCAAACCTGCAGTGATCTTCCTGCCTCTGCTTCCTGGAGTGACAGGCGTGTGTGAACGCTGGGGTGACAGGGCTGTGTCAGGGCGAACAGCCAGAACTTGACTCTTGGTCTTTTGTTTGTCTTTGGTTCCTAAAAATCACCCTACAGGAGGAGCCATGTTCAATTCCTCTGGGGTTCCGTGTTAGTGACAGAATGTTCTGGAAGCTTTGCCATCCACTCTGCCCTCAGTGCCTCGTCTTACCACACTCCCAGGACTTTATTAATAGCCTATTAGTGGGTAATAAATAAATGCATTTGGATGAGGAATCACCCAGGGGTGGTTGACGGGGGAGGAGGGGAAAGCTGGGGTGTTGGGTGGGTATCATCTCAGAGAGTGTCTCTCGGCACCTGCCCAGGTGGGGATGCTCCTGCTGGGTCCCTGCTGTGCAGTGGGTCCTGCGCCCCTCCCCACAAGCCTCCCTCTCATTAATCTTGATGAGTTTTCTGCTGAGTATTTTTCCAGGGTTTTCAAATCGCTCACTAATTGCAATTAATCACTTACTGAAACAGATGTCAGGAACAATGGGATGGGATGGTGGGGGCTTGATGAAGCTGTCAGGAGAGGGTGCGTGGGTGGCTGGGCGCTGGGTGCTGCCCTAGCTTGCCCAGGTGGGCTAGGACAAGCATGAACAGAGGGGTGGAGCAGGGGTGCTCTGGGACAACAGAGGCAGTCACGTGAAAGCCTAGGGTCAGAGGGGAGACAGGTAGACGCTGAGGGCTCCACACTGCCCCCTGGAGGCCAGAGCCCCTCCTGGCGCTCCAGAAAAGGCTTGGGATCAGTGTGTAAGGTTGGCCCCACCAGACTTGGGCTGTGCCTTTTAGAATTGTTTTCAGAGTATCGTTAACATTAGAGATCAGATTCGAGTGCTTGAAAAGCTGAGGCAGGAGGATGCCACGGGACCCTATCTTAAACAAAACCACATTTGACAGGAGAATTTGGACTCCTGGATTTCCTTTGGAAAGTACAGAGGTAGCATTGACTGAGAGCCACTGCCTGTGGCCAACACATTTATGCACCAGACAGCCGACTGTCAGAGACCCTCCAGCTGTCAGCAGCATTGGTCACTGTGGTCTCTTTGTGGACTAGCGCGCTCTCTCTTTCTCTCTCTCTCTCTCTCTCTCAGCAGAATTCCATGTAGCACAGGCAACGGTAACCATGGATGACCTTGAATTTCTGAGAATTCATGATCTCCATCCCTCTGCCTCTCCACCCCTGCCTTTCTCAAGTGTTGAGGTGACAGATGGGATCACCATGCCTGGTTTCTGAGGAGCTGGGGTTGGAACCCTGGGCCTTGGAGCTACATCTCCTGTCCCTTCTGTGCACCTTTCTGGTGCACATTATTTTCATGCCGACTTCATTCCCTACTGTTCCCCCCCACCCCCACCCCCGAATGTTTCCTGGTCTGCACAGCAGGCTCTTGTGTCATGGGCTGTAGGGACTGTGGCAACACATCAAGTGTGTGTCTGGGGCCTGTCATGCTGGGAGTGTGGGGCAGTGCTAGACATGGCATACCGTGGTGCCCACAGCTCACCCCTCTGTCTTTGCTTCTTATCTGCTCTACGATGGGCACTGTTGGCAGCCCCGGGGATGTGCACTGAACAGGATGGAGCTGACGGTCCGGCAAGGAGACAGAGAGCAAGTGCAGCATCTGCAGCTTTGCGCTCCAGGACCCAAGGCTGAAGAAAGCCGAGCAGGGAAGGTGCTCGCGAGCCCTCAGAGAAGAGGGAGGCCTGGCATGGCTGGGCAGTGAAGGGGCCGTGGCGCCATCTGCAAAGGCCCTGGGGCAGATCTGAGAAGTCGGGCTGAGCAGGGCATAAGGAGATTCAGAGAGGACGGGTGTGGGGCCAGTCACGTGAGATCTAGGCGCCAGTGTGAGGACTCCAACTAATGTCCCCAGAGATGGGGGCATAATAGGCAGGATCTAAACAGAGTGGTGTCATGGCTGCCCCAGAGCCCTGCAGGGATGAATACAGAGAGTTCTAGACTCTGTGCCCTCCATCTCCTGGAGCATGTTTCTGGTGACCCTCTGGCTCTGTCCTGGATCCTTCCCAAGAGCCCTTGCTCTCCAGGTGTAAGACAGCTGTGTATACAAGACGCACACAGAATTTGACTGTGCACATCTGGCCAGCAGAGGTAAGGTTACGAGCTGAGGAGGGGCAGGAGCCCACTTGGGGCCCCTGTATCTGTTACTGAGACATGCCCACAGTGAGTCACGTGGTATGCGGGTGTAGACGCCAGAGTTGGGGAGCGTCATGTGCACATGGGTCATACCTGTGTGTATGTTTGCCATGTGTCACTAGATGAAGGGGTTCCTTAAAACAAATCTTTACATTTATTTATCTATATATTTGTTTATGTGTGTGCGCACCATGCATGCCACGATGCACCTGTGTAGGTTGGAAGGCAACTTTTGGGAGCTCATTCTTTCTTTCTACCATGTGTTGCCAGGGAATCAAACTCAGTTACTGAGTTTTATGACAAGTGCTCTTATCTACTGAGCCTTCTCACTGGCCCAGGGACTTTCCCCCACCCCCCCTCTCTGTCACATCCAGGTGACAAGGACAGCTTCATGGCTGTCAGTGCCCAGCTTCACAAGTCTTAGCTATGGGGCCAGAAGTATTTGCCCCTCACTAACCCTCCCCAGCTGGCCCCTCCCCTGGGGGCAGGTTTCTGGATTACCATCGCTGTTAAAGGAGTTGGAGTAAATCCAATGGAGCACCCTAAAGCAGTGGCTCCCCTGCCGGGCAGGTGCCTGATCAGACACTGTTCTTGTGCTTGCTGCAATCTTCTCATCACCCACGAGACTCAGTGGGTAGAGTGCTTGCCTAGTATTGTATAAACCAGGTACAGCACACACACTGGTGAGCCCAGCACACACACACTGGTGAACCCGGTACTCAGCGGGTGGAGAGGATCAAACATTCAAATCATCCTTAACTACATAATGAGTTCAAGGCCAGTCTGGGCTACCTAAGACGCCGCCGTCTCGAAAAGAAAAATAACCCCACAGGGACCCAGGTCACCTTGCTGCTGGGGTGGGAGAATCAGGACCAGCAACTCTGGCCGCCAGCACTAAACATGAAGCACCCAGGGGAAGATCCTGGGCAACCCACAAGGGGAGACAACCAGTTCACAGGTGTTCAAAGTGAGTGTAAGGGCTGAAGTCACTATCCAAACCCCAGAGCTAGTGAGCAGCAGAGTCAAGCCTGAAGCCTGCATGGACGGACTTGAAAGCCTGGATCACACGATAGCTACCTGACCCCCCACTACCCCAGCACCATCCTTTGAGGGTACTACCAAGTCAGGCTGCGTCAACAGCAAAGCCAGGATGGACTAAGGCTGAGCTTGCCAGGAGTCTACCTGCTTGATCTTACAGACACTCAGAGCTCAGATCCTCACCAGCTTGCTGGAATGCACAATGCTGCTTTCCTTCCATCCATCCATCCATCCATGCAAGGCCAATGACATGGCTCAGCAGAGAAAAGCATTTGCCACCACCCATCCATCTATTCACCCAGCCATTCAGCAACTCACTTGTCCATTCCTCCACGTTTCCAACCAATCATCTATCCATCTATCCTTTAACCTTCACCCATTCATCCTCCCACATACCCATCTATCCATTATCTACCCATCTACCCACTCCCCCACCCTCTCATCACCTGCTTCCCCATCCATCATCTGTGTGCCACCTGCCAATCATCCCCCCTCTACTCAACATCATCTATTCAACATTTCACTTTTCTATCCCTTTATTTCTCCAAATGTTCATCTGTATAGCCACCTATCCATCCATCCATCCATCCATCCACACATCCATCCATCCATCCATCCATCCATCCATCCACACATCCATCCATCCATCCATCCATCCACACATCCATCCATCCACCCACCTATCCATCATCCATACATACATACCTCCACTCATTCTTGGAGAGAGAAGTTGGCAGGGTGGGTTATGAATTTTGTCTATCTAAAGAATGAATCCTGGTAACAACATCCATGGTTGAGCAACCATGGACAGATCACCTTACCACTTCACGCCTCAGTTTCCCCTTCTGAGGAAGGGAATGACTCAGCACAGGTCACTCAGGTTCCTACCTGTTTCTTCTCTTGCTGTGGGTTTCCACTCAGCCCCAGGCTTCTCTTTGCAATAGGAAACAAAACAACCCCTCCCTGACATAAGAGGGCAGGAGAGAAGCTGCCCCACATAGCTCAGCACTCAGAGCTTATGTGGCTCTGTGAGGGTGGCTGGCTCTCCTGACTTGTCATGGAGAGGGCGGGGTGGCGGTGTATGCATGACACTGTGCTTACTGTCCCATACCTGTAGCTGATTTCCAGGGCACGCTCGAGCTGTTCAATGACTGAGTCACACTAGAAGGACCTGGCCCCCTCTACTTCAGGAGGTCACGAAGTTTCAAAGGTGACTATCCCCTCAAGGTCATACCCGCAGACCCAGCCCAGCAGCGCCCTCTTCCAAGACAGGGCCTGAGTCTGTGGATCTTATTTCTCCCCCAGCCTGCAGGTAAAGTTATCTCTTCACCCCTATGTACTTTCTCCACACCCCTATGTGAATACCCTTTTACCTGTGACCCCCAACACCTCTCCGACACTGCCGTATGATAAGTCCACTCTGTGAGGCCATGGCGTGGGTTCCTGTCCCCTGTCAGCTGTTTCACAGCCGTGGCCATGAGGGAGGAAGCAGGGACACAGGAAGGAGACAGGGATGGAGCCCCCACCCAGGGTGGCAGAGCAGAGCCGAATGCTAGTGCACCCTTCCTGGGCCTCTCTCTGTCTGCCTGGCTCCAGCTGCCTGGCAGGTGAGGCGAAGCCCGCCTGCCACCGAAGGGGCCCTGACACATGTTAAAATAAATATTCCGCGGCAACGATGCTCCATATGTATGACTTCGTGGGGATGATTTTGCTGCTGATGGCTGCGAGCGACAGCTGCGCGGGTCGTGCCGGCAACACAGGCGCGTGGTGGGGCGGCGAGGGGGGCACCACGGCATCTGGCGACTCGGGGGGGGCAAGGCGCTGTGTGCCTGTCAGGGCTCGGCGTGGGCACATCAGCGATTCCGGGGGATGGCTGGAGCAGGTGTTTCCGAGCAGCCTGTTCGTAATAATTACTTTTAGATTGTTTTAAAGTGTTTGAGCAAGATCCTGGCGGGCTGGCAGGCAGGGAGGGAGGGAGTGGGCTGGAAGGCCCAGCGGGTGAATCCCACCCACCTGCGGGCACACAAGTGGCCTAGGCCGCATGTTCAGCGTGTCCATGTTCACATATCTGCACCTTGCCATCCCAAAGCCCAGGCCTGGTGAGCTACTTCCAGAAGGTCTTGTCCCTTACCGGGAACCCTGTCTCCTCAGGACCCTTAAAGAAAGGCAGAGGTCGGGGCCCACTTGTTAAGTATTGCAACTTACAACACTCCCATCCCATTAAGCCTCCACTTTCAAGCAAGTAGTATGTCAGGGTTCAGCCTCTGTCTCCTGCCCCCTGGGCCTGAGGGCCACGTGCTCCACTGCCTGACGGGTGGACAGAGGATAGATGTGGACAGCTGTTCCCGGGGATGGGAGCTATAGCCCTGGTTTTTTCAGTGTAGTGTCTCTGAGAAGTGTCCATCATCCGTGCTGAGTGGACAGGCTAGGTCCTGCCTCGCCTCTGCCACAACGGAAACATCAGACTGGATGGCCACCTGATCTGGACACACAGTCTGAGACTGTGCTCTGTAAAGCCCCACATGGACCACAGGGGCTAGGGCTGACTTCCTGGCCATGTTCAGTCTCTGCTACAAAGATGTGCCCTGGAGATGGGCCAAGGGGCCTCATTTAGGGAATACATAAAAGGTTCCTTGGGGCGAGAGATCCAGTCCCAAGACGCAGGAAGAGCCATGGGTGGGTGGACGGGCTGATGTTCCCGGAAAGGCCAACATGCACATTCAACATGGCTTCTCCCTGGGCTTTGTCCCAGCTTGCTCTGTAATCCCCGTCCATGGGTCCATGGTCCCCTCTTCTTTGACGGCATGTTGCGAGCTGCCATTGGACTCTGTCCCCCAAGGGCACTCATGGATCTGGCCATACTGACTCACTGGGTAGTAGTCCCAGCACACCCCAACTGACTGCCCACGAGGGGGTCACACTCAGGAGGGATTCTGGAAGCTCTCCAGGGATCAGTGGTACAGAGGCCACACAGAAGGTGAGAATACTGGGTGTGGCCTAGGGCCTGCCCTGTGGGACCTAGGGAACTGCTTTTCCCATAAAGGGTGTCCGTGCAGATTTAGAAAGGGCTCAACAGCCTTTTTCCTTTCCTGCTGAGATGGGCCTCCCTGGCCATTTCCAGCCCACAGAGTGAGCAGAGGTGCCACATCTTAGTGACAGTCTGAGTTAGGACTCTGGCCCAGGGGGCTGCTCTGCCCTGTTTCCCCAGCCTCAGCTGAATGCCCCTCGGCATTCCTCTATGGGCTGAGATCTGGTGCCAGGGGAGTTTACCAGACAGATTACCAGACACGGCCAATAGCTGTTCTGGGGGTTGTGTGGCTGTTGCCAAGACAAAGTACCCAGGTAGATGAGCAAGTGGGTGCCTGGCCCTGCCCTACTGCAGCCCTTTGAGTCTGCCTAGTTAATCAGCAATGACAAGGCTCCCGTCTACCAGCCTGATTCCCAGGGTCCACTGTACCAGCTGTGGGCAGTGGTATCCTCAGATGTTATGGGAGCCTGTGTAGCTCCAGGCTCAAAGTACCCCCTGAAGCCCTAGGAGCTTACCTTGGCCCCCCTACTGCTTCTCTGTCTTTACTCCCTGATCCCAGCTCCCAAATCGCTCAGTACGCTAGGGCCCCAAGGCCTTTGCACCTGCAGTGACCTTACCTGAGATGCTCTCCCTTAAACCTCCCGCCTCTTTAGGCTACATGATTATCTCCTGTACAGGGTCCCCAGCACAGTGCCAGGCCAGGAGTGGCTGCATAAACACCTAAAGAGGGGACCCCAGTCAGTGACTCCTCCCCCTCCCCACCGTCCCCAGGCAGCTCTTGTCATTAGGCCTCCCGGGGAGGTGTGTCATCCCTCATTTAGTGGGTGAGGGGGGCACCCCCAGCTCCCTCCCCAAGGAGTCTTTTACTGTCAGTCTTGCTGAGCTGCCTCTGCAGAGAGGATCGTCCTGACAGTCTCCCAGGCAGGCCTCATCTTTTATTCATGCCGATAATGTCAACCATGTGTGCACACCGCAGAGTCACTTAACCCATTAGAGGAACTACCTTGGCGGCATGCCACCGGGGAAGCCGGGAGTGGATACGACCTGGGCAGGTGTCCCCAGGGGGCAGCTGGGCACGGGTCCACCTGGGTGGGATTAGGACAGGAAATATCCCACGCTTACCAGGTAGCCATAGAGGTACTGGCAAATGTCCAAGGAAGAGGTCCCAGGACATGGCAATGACCTCTGGGGACATCCTGACACCAGATGAGAAAACCGGGACGCCTTCCCTGAGGGTTCATGGTGGCTGGTTACTGGTTCTTTCAAGATGAAGGGCAATTCCCTAAGGGAACCGGTAAGCTGGAGACACAGCTGGCCTGCCACCTCCACCCAGGTGCAGCCAGCAAGACAAAAATGACCCACAGTGACAACCCCCCTCCCTATGCGTGTGAGCCCACCCCAGGTGGAAACCGCTCACTGGGCAGAAGAGGCAGCTGCCATCAGAAGCCGCACCTTCTCTTCCCTGCTGGGTCAAAGCAGTCTTCTAAGTGTTTGCTGGCCGAGTAAATGGTGTGCTGGGCTGAGGGCCCTTGTGGGAGATGGGGCCATGCACTTTTCTATGCCTCGGCTTGTCGAATGATGGGGTAGAGAGGGTGGTTCCCATGCAGGCGTCTAGACATTTGACCTTCCCACCGCCCTGGCAACAATGGGAGGCAGCTATTATTCTCCTCTACAGAGGAGGAAACTGAGGCCACAAGGCTAAGAGGCAGGACACCCCATGCTGAATGAGGTGGCCTCACACACAGTAGGGGTGCTGCAATCTCCATGACACCCCCTGGTGGAAGTCATCAGCACTGCGGCTACCAGTAATGTGGCTCCCCTCTCTTGGGGACCTGGTGGGGTCTTCTAATTCAGAAGGCACATAGCCTGAGGTTGGGGAGCTCAGCCTTGCATGTACCCTTGGCTTGGAGTTTCTGAGACCCATGTCTCCTGAGGTAAAGAGAGGTAGAAGCCTGGCTGGGTTTCACTGAAGCCTTGGGTCACAGGAAATTGTCAGGTCCACCCTGGGAGGCCAAGAGGAAAGTGGGGGAAGGGCTGGCTCATCAGAGGGTTTAGGAGCATCCTTCCTGCCGCTCCCAGCTTCCAGTCATCACCCAGATCCCCAGGGCTTTGCTTTCCTTGTGTGTGCAAGCTCAGCTTGCCCCCTCTGCTCCAGTCTACAGCGAACTCATGCTCGAGAAACCTGAACTCGCAGTAAGCTCTCCTGACTCTCCAGGGAGACCAGACAAGGAAGCATGACTCCACAGTGAGCAAGGGCTCAGCCCCTGTCCAGCCTCCCCTCAGTAACTCCCAAGTCCTTGTCTGCTCTGGCCCCATGACTCCCTGCCATGTTCCTCGCCCAACAGCAGCATAGATGCTGGTGTCCTGGCCACACAGAGGCTTGTGTGCCATCCCCAGATCCACCCTATGGCTGTGCCTCTCTCCCCAGAGTCTCCCTCTTGGTTTAAAGCTCCCTTTCCCACCATCCATGTAGAATGGGAGCCGCCTCAGCCTTTGAAGTCTGGTTTGGGCACTGCCACTTTCAGGAACTCTCCCTGATTTCATTTCAGGTGTGTCTGCTGTTCCTCAGTTCCCTGTCTGTGGCTCTCTCTAGTTGCTGTGAGGTGCCTGCAGGAGAGGTTTGTCTCTCAGCTCACATCCTGCACTGACCACTGTAATCCTGTGGGGTGGACCTTCAGAGGAGACAGTGCGGTTGGTAAAGAGCTCGCAGCACAAGCATGAAGATCTGAGTTCAAATCCCGGGAGCCACATGGAAAATTCAAGCATAGTTCTGTGTGACTATAATCCCAGCGCTGGCAGGTCCGTGGAGCTCGCTGGTCAGCCAGGCTTGCCTACTTGGAGAAGCTCAGGTCGGTAGGAGGACCCACCTCAAAAACAAAACAAACCCAAGGTATTGGACTGGAGAGATGGCTCAGCTGCTAAGAGAACTGGCTGTTCTTGCAAGGTACTTGTGTTTGATTCCCAGCACCCACATAGCAGCTCACAACCATCTGTAACTGTAGTCCCAGTGGATCTGATGCCCACTTCTGGCCTCTGTGGCACCAGGTAGGCATGTGATACACAGTCAGACAGACAGACAAAACACATCATACAAACAAACTTAAAAAATTAATAAAGAACAAATTTAGAAAAAAAAACAAATTAAAAACACAAACGTGGGGTTGGGGTGGTAGAGAAATAAGAGATGACAGCAATGAATGTGCCCAAAATACAGAACACATGTGAAACTCACTCTGTAGCCTGGGGTGGGGGAGCTCAAACTAACAGATCTTGAAGTCATCAAAGAATAGATTAACAAAGCAACAACAACAACAAAAAAACCCTCAAAGTGGACAGTAGCACCTAAAGAATGATACCAATGATACCCAAGGTTGGCCTCTGACCTCCACAGGTAAACACACACACAGAAACAGAGACACAGAGAAACACACACACACATACACACACACACACACACACACACACACACACACACACACACACACACACA